ATGGGTGTCCACAGTCGGTGTTATATCTAAGGACATTAGGGCTCTCCAGAAATCTTTGAATGGACCAATGGAATCTCCCTATTTGCCTGGAGATGGCTCGAGTACTGAGCCCAGTTTCATGATCAGCCTTTTCATCAGAGGAAAGCAGACGACCACGAGCCATGTTGACAGTCAGGTTTAGAGACGTATTTGTCACACATGCTTACTTTTTTAAGTAACTTCAAACACGAAATTTCCTATCTTCCATGAATTATTGTTCACTTTCTCAGGGTGACCTTATAATTATGAAACGGTGCGAAAACCGATAAACTGTTCTAAGAAAGTTCAGTAAGATGCACCTGCGGCTAAAAAACGAAACCTAGGTTATTCGTGCTGAGGAATCCGTTCATGATGCTAGAAAAAATCCTTAATGATTGCTTTTTCTGAAAGTGCAAAATTTCAGGGTGACCTTATAATTATGGTGAAACGCACTGTATCTGCTCATCCGCGTAGCCGAAACTTCTAAGCGCAGCGATGACTTCTTCACTGTCTTCTCGTCAGGGAATCGTTACCAAAGCCAGTTCTCGCCTCTCTGTGGTTTTGCAAGAATTCGATGATCTTCTAAAAACTAGAATCGAATGGCCAGCAGACGAAGCCCAACGACGAGAATACAGTAAAGTACTTCAGCAGAAAATTCGTAAAGCAAAAATAATGATCCAATCTGAAATAAGTAACGCCGACTGTGCCCTAGAGAAATATGTCAAGACTGCCGACGATCTCAGTTCTGACATACCCAGACTAGACGAAATCCTTCAGAAAGTGCAATCCAATTCAGTAGCGGCACAGGAACTTCTTCAAACAGCGCGCACAGCCATCACCACTCTCAACGTCCTCTACGTGGAACTACAAGAAGCGGAAGAGTGCACATCAGGCCTTCAAAAGATGAAGATGGCCAAAATCAAACTTGCGCCCATCCCAATCCCGAAGTTCAGTGGAAAAATATGGGAATGGGAAACATTCTGGGGAGCTTTCGAACATTCCGTACATTCCCAAGATATCGATGACATCTACAAAATGAATTATCTTCTCAACGCACTCCAAGGAGAAGCCAAAGAGAGTACCAAACAATTTGAAATTTGACGACAAACATACTCTTTGGTGGATACCCATTCAAAGGAAAAATACGGAAACACTCAATCTCTAATCGATCAGCTTCTGCGAAACGCTCAAAGGTTGCGCGCTCGGAGTGATCGACTCGAGGACCAGGAAAAGCTCTACGAACAACTTTTCTCGTTAACAAGTCAGCTACATCTGAAAGGCGAACACATCGATAATACTTTCTTCCAGAAGCTTCTTTTGGGAAAATTCTCTGAACCAGTTCAGAGACATATATTACGCCAAAAACAGCAAATGCTTGCGCAAACTTGGAACACACGGTCGTTGTTGGCAACCGCGAAGGACTACATTGAAGCCGAAATGAGAATTTCGAAGCAAGTCGAAAAGCATTACGACAACATCAACGAGTACGCCAACCCACACTTCAAGAAAGACTACAAGTCGAACTCTCCAATCAAAGGACAGTCGAAAGGAGAGGTAGTCCCATGCTTTTACTGTAACAAGAGTGGTCATTTCGCGAAAAATTGTGACGAGTTCCCATCAAGAGAAGAACGTTTGGAGATAATGAAGAAAAACAAACTTTGTCACAATTGCGGAAGTAAAAACCAAGTCACTCCACAATGTACCAAAGGAAACTGCAAGATTTGCAACAAACACGGCCACCACACATCCATCTGTATGGAGGCTGTCAACTTGAAAAATCAGCAACAGAGCTTTACCAAAACCCGTTGAACGCTCCCTCACTCAAGCCTCAGTCGACAACAAAGGAAATCCCGCAAGCAAGAATAAACACTGCTTCTTCCATCAACGAAGTTAAAGAAACTACTTCAACAACTCTAAATTTCACCACCATAAATCAGAGCAGCGACACAATTATACTAGCAGGTCGAGCACAGGTCCTAAATCCTGCGACGCAATCGCTCGAATCAATATACGTCCTGCTCGATACCGGTGCCGACCGCTCCTTTATAAAAGAGGAGCTAGCCGACCTACTCCGACTGAAAGACATGAGCTCGGAGGAGCTAACAATAACGACGTTCGGTTGCATGAAGCAGATGAAAAAATGTGGAGTCACATTCATTCAAATGTGGGATCAAAACGGAGCCTCTACATCTACAAAGTTAGACGCATCCCACGAATCATGGAAACTCGGCAACAGTGTAAACTTACCAAAGCCGATAGAGAATATCTCTTTAAAAATAACATCAGGCTCTCAATCGACTCGTCGGCAACCGATGTCGAACCTCAGGTGTTGCTTGGTTGTGCTGACCTTTTAAGCCTTCTGGAAAAAGGATTCAGCACTCTGCAAACACTCCCATCAGGTGTGCAAGTGGTGCCCTCCAAACTGGGCTATCTGGTAACAGGGAGGAAACAAGGACAGAATGACGAAGAAGAAGAGGAAGGGCCTCTAGAAGAGATCACTCTTCCGATGTCTTTCTGCTAGAAGTAGGGCACGAAGTTAATGCTCACGATGACTGGGAACGATTTTGTATTTTCGAGGCATCAGGAGTACAAGAATCTTCGGGACCTAAAAGCCAAGAACAAACAGAAATGGATGAAAAAGTATGGAAGAACTTCACTGACATCATTCAGAAGAAAGAGGATGGTCACTATGTTCAACTACCATGGAAAGACGGTGCAGAAAATCTTCCTGACAACAAAAGAATTGCCATGAAGAAACTCTATAATACAATGGAGAAACTCAGAAACAATCCGGTACTTCTTCAACAGTACCACGATACAATTGAATCAACTCGAAAATCAAATCATCGAAGAAGTGGATGAACTAACAGAACATGGAGGAAGAATCATCCACTATTTGGCACGCCAAGCCATCTTGACACCACACAAGAACACCACGAAATTGCGTGTGGTCTTTGACGCATCCGCCCATCATGAAAATTGCCCTTCCCTCAACGACATGCTGAATGAGGGCCCGGTAATGCTTTCTCTTCTGTGTGACCTTCTTCAACGCTTTCGAATCGGAGACATAGCAATCCTCAGTGATGTGGAAAAAGCATTTTTACAAGTCCAACTCCAACAAGATGATAGAGATGCGACTCGATTTTGATGGGTCCGACATGTCGACCAGCCCCTTTCTCCCGAGAACCTAGCCACTTACATATTTACAAGAGTGACATTTGGTCTCAATTGTTCTCCGTTTCTCTTAGCAGGAACTTTGCGGCACCATCTCCTGAATTACTCAGGCAACACAGAGCTGGCAAAATACATATTGGAGAATACGTATGTCGATAACGTTATCCTCACAGCCTCATCAGAAACAGAAGCTCTCGACCTCTACGCACGCTCCAAGGAAATGTTCGCAGAAATGAACATGAATCTCCGCGAATTCTGTTCGAATAGCTGCGAGGTAAACGCTCAAATGAATGAGAAAGATCGCAGTTCTAACCTGCTTCAGAAGGTTTTAGGGATACCATGGAACACCGAAAGAGACGAGCTCACTCTAACCTGCACCTATCCACCTAAAAAGACGTGTACGAAACGATCAGTATCAGAGCAAGTTGCTGCAGTCTATGACCCACATGGTTGGCTAACACCGTTAACCCTGAAAGGAAAGCAGTTTCTGCAACAACTATGGAAAAATGGATATGACTGGGATACGAACCTATCCATCGATCACCAACAGCAATGGGATGAAATCGTCAGAAACGCAGGTTTTCAGCACAGAACGCCGAGAAAGATCGCAGAAATACACCAACCTCCACGTCTAGTGGTCTTCGCAGATGCAAGCGCACAATCTATGGCAACATGTGCATACCTGGTAACTAATAATGTGGCTCATCTTATAGCTGGAAAGTCCAAGTTACCAGCCATCAAAGGAAGCCCTACCATTCCTAAACTGGAACTAAATGCGTTAACAATGGCGACCAGGCTAACCCTATCCATTTATAAGGCTATCAGATCAAAGTCGACAATCGAGAGTATAGTAATACTCTCGGATTCCAAAGTCACTCTCAGCTGGATATCTAAGGTACAACCTGACAGGAATGCAGTAGTCTTAGTACGGAACAGAACAAGGGAAATTCAAGAAATCGTGGAAACCCTCCCAGTACCAGTTTCGTTCGGTTATGTGCCCACTTGTGATAATCCGGCCGATTGCGGTACAAGAGGTGTAACAAAATACGAGTTCGAAAACCACATCTGGTGGACAGGACCAACATTCATTGCTACACCGACCGACGAGTGGTCTAACAAAATAAGACTCATGCGACTCCCAATTGACTCAGAAGAAAACGACAGCGATTGCTATTAAACCCCTGTAAGGACCTCTCTACCATCAGAAAGTCAACCATCAGAATTACTGGACTTGTTGTGGGCTCACAACTAGTCCACCTAATCACTTTACGTAATACTCACTATAAGTACCTCTTGATAAGATGCCGAAAGCATGACCTAGCGGCAACATAAGAGTGATACCAAGTAGGTAACTTAAGCCCTCGCTGTTGACGCGGCGCGCCCTTTCATCCCCTATCGTAATCACACTTATACAGTAAATATTCGTACGGTATCTGGGCACCGCCCACATTTATGTGTATATAAGCCTGTAGATTTGTATACTATGGTCGGTTACTTTACGCGTCGTAATAAATAATTACACGTGTATTGTGCAAGTCCATTGGTCAGACTACCAAAGGACTGGAAACGGCATAACAAACTATCGTCCTGGCAGACAACACTAGATAACGTTCTTCATTTCATAAGGATGACAATGAGTAAGCTCAACCCGAAATCACCGCATTGAAAAGAACATCCCAGAATTATGTCCTGTGGAACACTCACCTTTTATCAACGCAATCGAAAGAGAAAAGGCCCTTACGGTAATCTTCAGGAACCACCAAAAAACGAATTTCTCACCACAACAATTGAAGGTTCTCAAACAGCTGAACTCTCAACTTGATAAAAACGACATCCTACGGTGTCGCGGACGGCTAAACAACGCGCATCTTTCGCGAAAATCCAGGCAACCTGTTCTCATCGCATCCAAAACGAATTTAGCCAAAGTGATCATCGAAAACGCACACACGGATTTACATTGTGGAACTGGACATAGGTTGTATTATTAGCCTTCGAGGTTTTTAATAACACTTCATCCACACGGCTTACGTTTCGGCAATATCGCCTTCGTCGGAGCTGTAAGTCGAAACTATATTTGTGATTCGTGGGTTACCATCTCAAACTACAAGGAGAGAATTCTAAAGGGAAGTAAAACAGAAGCGATGAGCTGACCTGAAACCGGCTGGAG